TGATTCTATGATCTAGACCCTGTTAGTTAGTACAGGGTCTAGTTTATATTGTATCTATGAAAGTGATATGCTATCAACTAGAATATAGAAGAACATAGATCTATCCATGTTTATGCAGTCGCAGAATATAAATGCAGAAGAGCAACTGCTGCTTTTCCTTTTGCAGAGGCTAGAAACCACGAGGTAGTGCAAGAACACCAAAACCTGGAATAAATTTGGAAACAGTTGCAACTGTTGTTTTGAAAACGGCAGATATTCAGCATGAAAAGTCTGAAAACGCAACAAGGGAGAGGGCATTTTGAGATATCCAGAGAATTTCTAAATGAGACTACAAGTAATCATCCAGTCTCCAATGAACTTATTTTATGGGTGCAGTAGCCAATAAAGACCATGAAATGTCTGGTGCAGTACCTGCATCCTGCAGGTTACCTGGGAGAAATTCAAGGATAGTCACAGATTCTCATTTTAAATACTACTTCTTTTGAATGTAAGTACCCACTCAGTCCAAGCTATCTATAGTAAATGAGAGCATAAAAACCTCATGCATTAAGTGTTAGTGTTGTTTGACAAACCCCCCCAAAATCTTAGTCTGGTGTGTTGTTCACTGTGTGTTATTTTCAATCTTAAGCCTACAAAGCTCATTACAAACAAAACCGGGTATTTTCCCTATACCCTCAGCTCCATAGACCTTATAAGTTGAGAGAGACAAGGCAAAACAACAGGAACAAGGGTACAGTGCAGGCAAGGGAGGAAGTGGCAAGTACAATGCAATAAAATTCTTTGATGGGGGCTTTAGAAAGGAAGCAAAGGAAAAAAAAAGGCTGATAATGAATTATAGACTTGTGTCATTATAAATAGGTTTTAAAAGTTAATCGACAGATTTATTGGCTCACCTTCAAGGGAAAGTTTCAGAATTTTATACATGCCTCTCTTATAAAAAGAAAGCAAACCCCAAACTCAGATATAATGCCAAAATAGCATCTCCATTAACTTCATTACATTTGCACACAGATTGTGGCTCATAATTAGATTTTGCAGTTCTCTGTATCTGCAAAAATTAAAGTTAGGCAAGACACATTCACCTTTCTGTTTCATACAGAACAAAGATAATTTTGAAGACAGAACTTCAGGCTTGCAATTGATACCCATGAGGAGAAAAAAAAAAAAGTTTTGCAATTCATTAGATTATTGCCCTGTTATCTTTTCCTCCCCCACGTTTCCCACAGAGGAAGTCTCTACGCATTGAAGCTACTGCTCTGCTTCAGTGCTATTTAAACAGTCCCGTATATTATAACGTTATGTCTATGAAAACATTTTTCTGTTGATCCCAAACAATAATAATTCTCCCTTATGTCCAATCAAAACAGTATGGGAAGAAGGGAACTCACCTTGTCCACCTGCAACCCACTTAATACCAATCCACCACAAAGTGAACATGGTGAAATGGTGATAGACATGAAGGAAACTAATTTGGTTAAATTTCTTCCTCAAGATGAAGAATACTGTATCCAAATATTCAATTCCTTTAGAGACATAATACCACCATAAAGCAGCAGCTATCTGCAATGAAAAAAACAGACAACACAAGTTTTAGTGATTCCAAGTTAAACCGAATAAAGTTCTCTCCATCTATGTTTTGCGAGAGAAGGATACCTCTTCCTTCCCCAAATCCTGGTAAATGTTGAGGTGGAGTCATTAAACATCTAACACTATGAGAACAAGAAGAAATACAATGCTCCATCTATTCTGGACATGGAAGTATTATTCTGAGTCTACTGCTCACAAATCACAAGAAGAGCTAACATCATTAAAAGCTTTGTCACATCTAAACAGTTTACCAGTTAAACGTAGGGAGTTTGTGTCATCATTCTCTACCCTAAGCTGTGTGGGAGAGGGCTACCACAGGGCTTCCCCTGATAATGAGGCAACACTCTGATGTGGTCAGAGCAACGAGGCAGGAACATTGTCATAAAATGAAGCTGCAAACAATGAAACCTTATATAAAATTCTTTCAGTACCACAGACATAGGGGTGGGAAGATACCAAATCACTCTTACAAGTGACATGTGGTACAGCTTCCACATCCCTTAGGACAATACTCCCCTCAGCTTCCTGTGGCCTGCTCAGTAACCCCCTTTGGAAAGCAGCATTCCCCGACTGGCTCTGTACCATTCAGAGAATAGAAGAAATGAGACCACAGGAGCCACATAAGCTACAGAGATATAACCCATCTACCCAACAGGGCAGTGCTACACACCCACATTCTTCTTCTAATCCACCCATGACAGTGGATCTTGCCAAAGATGCCTGCTGAAATCAGGATATTGTTGTACCAGGGAAAGCCCAGAAGCTCTGTGTAGCAATTTGCTAATACTATGATATGGGGGTATGGTGGCTGTGGGGACTCCCTTCCAGATCCCAAAGGATAGCAACAAGCCTAGTTCCTGGCACTGTAAGTCATCTAGCTTGTTATGCAAGGGTGGGACCAGAACATATCCCAGATGGTGACTCACATAGAGAATGAAAAAAAAAAGTTGGAAATGGCACCACTGGCAGGGACAGCAGGCAATGTCACAACACACCTATTTGTAAGAAGTTCACCTGGTCTGTCAGGACACATCTGACAGCAGATCAGACTTTTTTACCTTGACATGGTGTGAAATAACCCCACCACCCCCTCAGTCCCCAGGACAGACAAGAGAAGAAGTTAAGGCAGCAGTGTCTTCCCTTCCCAAATACACATGTACTGTTGGGCATGTAATAGAAAGGGCAATGGGAAGAATGAGCAGTACAGAGCAATGCTACAGCCTCCCACGGTTGTTTTTCTCCACCTCTCCAAACTAGCATGGGAAGGAACACATCCCTTCTCAGAATAAGCTTGCCACAGCCATAATTGGACTGGTGAACATTTTCTGAGCGATTACAGCAGAAGCAAAAAAGCAGAATGGGAGCAGAAGAGTGCTGCAGATCTGCATTGCAGACTCTGCAGTTTCCCAAAGGGAATGCACAACTTACTGTTGCCAAACTGCAGATTTCTGTGTATCCGGTGATGAATACCCTTCTCACCCTCTGGATAGGATTTAGCCTACTTCAGGTCTCAGGGAGAGGTGGCAGTTTTTGTCGATTTTATAGAAAAAGATACTAATATCTGTTAAAGTTGGAAAGGCTTAATGAGAGAAAAGTGACTCCCACAGACGCTGGGGTTCTCAGACACACAGGCAAGGTGCAAGAACCATCAATATATATATATGTGTTGCTCAATATCCAGTACAGTTCTGTCTCTGGGACAGGTAGTCAGATGTTTAGTAACACCCACATCAAGGCTTTGTCTCACACCCATGGATTAGCGTAACAGTCCAACATCTTTTACAGATCTTTGCTAAAGCTGCATCTCTTAATTTATTTAAGATAAGCATCTTTTCATCTCATGAGTTAACAATAAACACTTTGGACTGCATCCATAAAAAATAAGCCAGCACTACTCAAGCTTTTTGGAGGACCTTCCTTCCGAGAAACTTTTAAAGAATCAATAGGTCAGTTACAAGCAAACTGCCATAAAAGCTCTTATAAAGCCAATGTGCATTTTCTTAAAGAAAGGATGAACAATGAGCCAAATAGCCAATTTACTGTATGACATAGAGCAAAATGTAAGCTGAGAAAAGTCCAACAAAAAACCCTTATGTTTTATGCCCAAGATGTCCAGGAGCATATAGTGAACTTGTGGAAAGTCATTTAACACACCTCATTCCTCTTCTTTTGAATTCCACCTGCTTACACAGAAGGCAATTACAGTCCATAGATCAAAATCAGCCAAACTTTTGATCAAAATGCTTCCCATCACTTAAGAACAAAAACCAGCCTCCACTTCTCTGCAGGATTATACCTGCTGACTCTTGTGTCCCTGCAGAACTTTTTGCCTGACAGATCTATTGCTCTCTTCCTATCACCAAACTTCACTACCATTTATTCTCAAACCTGATAGGTTTCGTGTACTGATGATCTATTTAAGCGCTCCCAATGACTTCTGCAGATGTTTTGATCATTAGCTTACAGATGCAGAAAAAAAATGAAACAGATGCTAAGTCGTTCGCCCGAGGCCATCCCTGCACTCAGTGACAGAGGGCAGAAATAAAGCAGAACAATACACCAACAAGTAAGCTAAGTCAGGAGCAGATGGCTACTATTAAACAACTTCTGCAAAGCATCAGAAGTTAGGACCTAACAGAAGTTAGGACCTAACCTGTAGCTTTTCTTTGGACACAGCATGAAAGAAAGATTTAGCTTAAAAAAAGGCCCATTCCTGAAATGAGTACTACTAGTCAGAACCGTACCTTTTCTGGCAATTTTCATATGTGCCAATCTAAGTCTGTTAAAACACCAGATGGCACAGAAAGATTACATTACAGCCTAGGATTAAGGGGGTCAACAAGAAGTCCAATCCCATGACCTCTGCCTGCTGCAGGGTTTTTGAACAGAGAGCTTCTTTAACGTGGGACTCTGTTCCTGCATCCTCGTTCCTCGTAGCAGGTTGGAGACAGTTATCTGTTATGAGGTTTGAAGGGACAGGTATTTCTTAGAAAGTAACAGTAACACTAAAAACTAAAGTGGCTTTTAAAGAGAGCTCTTTCCTTTGCTTCACTTATAGAATTTTGTTTACAGGACCATGACAACTATTTTGTTAAGACAAGTTCACTTTTCACAGAAGTTTGAAGTAAATAATTATTATTGTATTTCATATATATTTCATAGGAGGAAACTACTCAAGCTCTAGGCATAAACAGTGCAGATTAGGATAACAATAGAGAAGACAATCGTAGCTCAGCTTTATGATTAGCACACTTAAAACTAGGAACTAACTACTTCATACAGTCCCAGATTCCTAATTCTCAGCTCTCCAGAAATGCTAATAAAATAGATGAACCTTGACTCGGGAAACAAGGACACACAAATGTAAGCAGAAGGGGAAGGTGACTACCCATAGACACTAATATGCCTTATGTTAGACAGTATTAGGAAACAGTTCACTCCAAAGTTGTATTCCAAGCACGGGTTTAACACAACAGGCCTTTGCATTTATTATTTTGTCTACTAAGCTATAACAAAAAAAAAAAGTTCTTCCAAGACGCAGCTGCAGCTCCTTCAAAATCCCTTCTTGGGGATTTCTTCCCCCTTTTCTTTGTTCTCTACTATGAATTGTTTGGGTTTTTTTTTAAATAAAACTAATTACAAAACACACTCCTCAACCTCCTGCCAGCAGGCAGTAAGGTGGCCATGAACTACACCCAGAAAGTAAGTCCTTTAGAAAGAGTTTATCTGTGCAGCTGTGCAATCTAGTTTCCATCCCCTGCAATTGTGGAATCTAATTTACATCCCTGCTTGCTCTGGTCATCCATTACCCCTTGTAGACCAACAGCTAAGGGACCCTGGATGAGATTAACAGGTGTAGGTAAGTTGAAAAGAGTGAGTAGGAGGAATGACTTCTTCAACCTATGTGTAACAAAATTGTCAGTGAAAGCCACAAGCTTGATAAAGTTGAAGAAAATGTACAGACAAATTAACAGAAGAATATTCCCTTAAAAACTGGCAAAACAAAGAGGCTATGTCTGACCAGCAGACTACTGGTGTTGCAGACTATACAGGGGAAGTGCCACCACATACCCTTACACTGTTCCCTTGAAATCACCATTGGCTTACTGTCTTGAGACCTGATGTGGGTTAGAATCATAGAATCATAGAATGGTTAGGGTTGCAAGGGACCTTAAAGATCATCTAGTTCCAACCCCCCTGCCATGGGCAGGGACACCTTGCACTAGACCAGGTTGCTCAAAGCCTCATCCAGCCTGGCCTTGAAGACATCCAGGGATGGGGCATCCACAACATCTCTGGGCAACCTGTTCCAGTGCCTCACCACCCTCTCTGTGAAGAATTTCTTCCTGATATCTAATCTAAACCTCCCTGTTTTCAATTTGTACCCGTTACCCCTTGTACTAGAAAGGAGAGGAAAGACATTCTCTGGCACCCAGGATAGCTAAACCTTCTTTTTGGAACTGTTTACCAGCTCTTTGTACTCCCTGGAGGAACAAAGGCCGGTATCTTGACCCCTCATTTTGAGCAGGACCTGTGGTCAAACAGGGCCACTACATGGCAACATCATAGTGGCACATTCCCCAAAAGGTAGAAACGGAGGTCACAGCAGGGCTTCTAGGTTTCCATTTAGACCACCATATGCCATTAGTTTCACATCCAGCTTTCTAAGCCCCACAGTAAAGTCATATATGAAGCATGTTCCATAATACTTTCTGAGCTCAGTGCTGTTTCAATTTTAGTCCCAATCTGCTTTATCTGACTAATACAGGACTCATTTATTCATTCTCTTACAAATAAATCTATTGCATTTGCAATTAATTCTACTGTTGCAGTACAGCATTCCTCTGCAGAGCACACCCAGTGGCCAACAAATACTAACATTTAGTACTGAGATCTGTTAAAAGGGTGTGAGAGATGTGATAGGTGGTTTATCAGCTCTAAACTCAAAACTTCAAAAAGGAGCCCACATTTACTTACATTTTAAAATTGCTTTTGCAGGTTTATATTAACAAAAATGATAGTGAAAGGAATCTTGGGGAGGTTTTGGGTTTTTTTTTTGTCCTACAGGGTCAAATCCCAACAGCATAACTTCTAAATGTAGAGCATGATACACTGTTAAGCAGGCTAGCAGAGTATCCTAGACTCTTTAGTCAGGATTTGCACAGTACACTTGTGCAAACTGAGAATTAATTCAAAAGAACTACTGGATAATGTTCGAGATCAGGGTCTTAACTTCTACTATACAGTTGCTGCAACAACTTGGTAACTCCATTTTCCCTGCTTCCTCAACAGTCTCAGCTGCAAACCGAGCATGCTACAACTTAAAATTTAATTTCTAAAGCTTATGCAAATCCTCAAGTTTGCAAAAAAATCCTTAAAACCTTGTTTTTCTGGACACATCATATGCAATAAATACATTGTACAGGTCATAATGAACAAAAGAGAAGATAATTCTTTTCAGCAGGTCTGACCTCTGCACAGCCTCCCACAGATGCTGGGATGCTAGCACCTAAAAGTGAGGCTATGAAACAGATTTTTTGTATACTAAAAGTCATTACGCCCTGTACTTAGCTATTATAAAAATTCCTTTAATATATGCCATACCAGTCCTCAACATTATCCACCTGAGCACAAGGGCATTCTGTTTTGATTGTCTATTTGAAAAAAAAAAAAAACAACTGTAAAACATTTGGTGCACTTGGCTAGATTTTGTTTTTAAACCAAACTATTAACAAGCATTCGAGTGAGTGAAATAGTGAGTGCACATATTGGCAAAGGTGAAAGGCGACTACCATAAGGTTAATAAAAATCTACACAGAGAGCTGTTCTGCAATATCAGTCACTACACATAAGGTGTAAGACTCAAACCTACCCATCTCACTACCACCCCTGCCACGTGCACAAACTTTTGAGTAATACTATGCACAAACAGCTGCCTTGTAGAGAGGCATTTCTTGAAACGTGTTATAAATATTACATGTATTTAGACTACAAACAGAATTTCATTACATTTTCAGGAACGCGTTCTAATCTGTAGATGAAACTTGCAAGAACAGCTGAGAGATTCTCAAGTGTCAGCTCTGCCGGAAGATAAGGTTTAGTACATGAGCTAATCAACAGCGTTACGGAAATTAACAAGCCTCTGCACTTTGGTTTTAATTTGAATACTTTCCAAAAAACACACATTTGAAATCTAAGCTTCTGCAATGGAATGTACTGATAATATATTTGCCAGAAGCCAGCAAAATCTCCTGAAGACAAACACAGTTAAAAGAGACAGAATGTTGCCTCACCAGTATGAGTCAAGTGCAACCACAGCGTATGCTGACAAATCTACCTTGCTTGATCTAGCCAGAATACTACACCTTTACTGTGGTTACCCTGGTATCAAACTTCAGCAAGGGCCAGGAACCAGAGTATGTACACAAAGTTTATCCTGGAATGTACAATTGCGGATGAAGCCAAGGATGGTATCTTTAAAACTACCCTTATGCAGCAGCCAGATGAAAGCTACAGCAAACAGGCTGATGCACTTTGATTAAACCCGCTGCATGCAATGCAGTCCAACCTGAAGCGGTCTGTGGGAATATAACGGGATACAGTCATGGCTGACAGCAGAACTTTGGAAACACTATTTTCAGACAAGACTAAAGCCAGTGCTGTATATTACACACATTCAGATACAAATATGAAAGACGAAATACTCACCCTAACTTCATAAACATTATCTGAATAATCCACAGTCTGGCAGACATAGCTGTACCCTCGAGCTCTTGATGACAAAAACAGCTGAAAATATTAAAGTCATACATGAGGGAAAAGATGCTACATAAAACATGTTCATAACAATTATCAGCAAATTTCTTGCGACATGAAACTTACCTGAACAGAAATATTTAAAACGTCCTTATCAGTCCTAAGAATACTATTGGAGAAAGCCAATATTTAGTTCTACCAACCTGTTGTTACACAGTACCTATTTTTTTCTTGTAAATTAAAAAGAAAGTATTAATTTTTCCCTCCCTGTAACTGCACAGATAATTAGAGCCCTGTACATATTAGTAAGCATTCCAGTGTGATCTTAAGCTATTCAAACACGAGTATCCTCTCTGATGGCTCTACCTTCAGAGACAGAAAATACCTAATTGCTTTCACTATGAATGACAGAATTGCTATTCCTGTGATGGATTACAATGAACTCTCTCCAATAGACAGTGATTAGATCATTTGGATCTACTATTCTGAAGAGAGTATACCAATCAAAATCCAGAAAAAAACCCAAACCTGAACAGTCAATGCTGAGCACCCATAAAACATATTGAGAGAAATTGGATGAAGAAAAGTTCCCCATGTCGTGCCAACAAAAATGGCCTAAAGCACACGAAGTGCTTCTGCAGAGCCACTCCAAATAAAGCACGCTGCAATAACCTGAACAGGAGAGGATAAACTTGACATTTGGGCAACTTCCTGTTGGAAAGAAAACTTGCTTAAAGCTGAACAAGGTTCAAGCAACACTTCTAATCTTGACATTCATCAATGTTATGATCCAAGACTGTTTAAAGCCAGGCAATCCCACCCTGTTAAGGATTAAAAAATAGACAGCAGTGGAGCAGACATAACCTGTAAATTGTAAGCTGTGAAAGTAAAGAAGGGTGATACAAAAAGATCTCCAAAATAAACATGGGTACGCACTCTCTCCACTGGAGGAGGGGAGGGGGATTTGTGAGAGCGGCTTCGTGGTATTTTGCTAGACAGAGTTAAACCACGACACTAGTCTTACCACTAACCTGACTTCCATCTCATTCAGACTAAACTCGAGTTTACTTCGGTATCTCAACTTGCACAGAGCACTAGGAATGCAAAGAGATGCAGGGACACATGTTACCCAGATAAAACCAACATACAAAACCTCGTGAAACTCTGGACTTACTTGCTGTGCATCTGTTTACAGAGGGAAGAGAAAGAACTGCCTGCAGAAATGATCCTAAGAAAGAAATGGAACTACTTCTGTATCATCCAAGTCCATTTACAAACTGCTGTAGTATCATCTCTCTCCAGTGTAGTCCCACACAGGTATGAGGACGCTTGATCAGAGAAAAGCAGGGAACAGTTTAGTCCATGCTGTTACAGAAACAAGCCAAGCTCTGCTGTGACCTGTGACTGGGTAATTTGACCAAGATTCACTTGGTAAAAGGCAATAAACTGACTTCACCAAACTGCCTCAAAGTAGAATACGAAGATCAAGATTTTGTGGTAAAATAGGGCCTAGGCGTCTGGACTTGCAAAATTTGCTCCTAATTTAAAGCTGAACTTGACTCCAACCTATGGGAGTCTTGGACTAGACAACCTAGCAGCACTTTACAGGCTTACCATTTTAATGTGAGCTATCACAGATGAACAATACAGCTTGCCATCAGGATGATTATTTAAATAACATTTAAAGGCGCTTCACATTGAAATTCTAGTTCTCAGCAACACCTGGAAACTTTACAGTCATTCAAAAAGCACAAACTGTGTATCATTTCACTCATAACAATTACATTACAAATGTACACTGTGCAAATTACAGCACTGGCATAACTGGTATTGTAAACCTCACATAGATTGAGGCAGAAGTTGCCTGGCTAAAGGGAACAATTGAAACTTGAACACCTTCCTCCTATCAGTCTCTAACATCAAGAAAAGACACTTCCTGTAAATGCTGTCTCCATAGCCTTAGCATCTAATGAATAACAACCGACCAATTGAAATAGTAGGAAACTAGAACCTCCGTCTGTGTCTAAAATTACGAGCTTTCAGCCTATCAGCAGCAATGCGTATTTGCAGTCCCACTCGTTTTTATGTGAATTCAGTGACTTGGAAATGCCATGCAAAAACATATGTTATCCTATAGGCAACACAGGGTTGAAAACTAATTGGCTACAAGTCTGGTATAATTCAGCTTATGGATAAAATAAACCAATTCAAAAGAATAAGTGAAAGAGACAGACATGGCAAAACCACTGCAGAACTCATTTCAGAGGAGTTTCAGTTTTAACCTGGCAAGATGACTGGATTTCATCCATTTCCACTTCTATTCTTGGGTGACAGCACTAAATTCGGTTGTACCCACAGTATTTTATTACTCAGTCGAATAGTGCAAGAAGCAGTTCAGACACAATGGCGACTGAGGTGTGATGGTTAAACTTTTATAAACCATGTCTTAAAAAAAAGAATGAAATCAGTTAATGATTTTATTATAGAAGCTCTGGGGAAGGGTCAATATGCAGATCATCATCACATGTGCCATGCTTTCCTAGCAAAAGTACAGAACAGACCAGCCAGAAGAGTTCTGCAATGCTGTAATTTTAACTATCATCAGCTTCATTTGCTTACTTCTGGAAACAGACTTTGCAAATTATGATCTGAGGTCTTCCAGGAAGAAGACGCAGTCCACATGAGCAAAGTCACAGCAGCATATAGCTGATATTAAGGAGTAGTTTATTCTGGACAGCTATCCTTGAATAATGATTACCAAACTGTTAAGTAATCCCACTTAGCTACTGCTAACAAACTGACCCACTGTATTGTTAATAGTAATTTCCTCTAGGAATGCAGCAACACCAAAATTTATTAAAATTAACACACTTAGAATGTTGGAAACCAAATATTAGAACACTTATCCTTTATTTTAATGTAAAGATACAGTTTACTTAATTTTTATTCTTATTCTAAAAGATCCCTTACAGACAAGATACTTTTCAACACTAAAGACAACGGACATCTGAACTTCTAAAAATCATAAACACACAATGCAGCAACACCAAAATTTATTAAAATTAACACACTTAGAATGTTGGAAACCAAATATTAGAACACTTATCCTTTATTTTAATGTAAAGATACAGTTTACTTAATTTTTATTCTTATTCTAAAAGATCCCTTACAGACAAGATACTTTTCAACACTAAAGACAACGGACATCTGAACTTCTAAAAATCATAAACACACTGAATGCACCAAATAGATTAATTTAAATCTCTACAGATTTTAGTTAATCTGCCCAGTATTAACACCAATATAAATCTCAGAAGAACTTGGAATAGCTAATAAACAAATACTATGCTCTCTGTAGTGCATTTATTCTCAAACAGAATGTACCTAGCTATAGAAATACATCAAAGGCAAACCAGCTTTAAAAGTCTGTGCAAAACAGTCATCCTCAACAGATATCATGAATATGTAGGGTTATTTTCATTTTGCAGTCTGTAGCCACCCTCAGATTTAAGTAGGAATTCCCTCCTGCAGGACGGCATACACACCTCTTTGAAAATGAAGAAGTTGAGTAGAACCATTCCAAAGTTGTAAACAACCAACAGGAAACGTAACTGGAAGGGCTCTCTTGTCTTCATCCATTTGGGGCCCAGCCAGACAGTGAGGAGATAAATAGTGCTTATAGTCAACGTTGGGAATGGAGACTGCATCAAGGGCCAATCATCAACGCGTTTGTCTGGAGTGGGTGAAGCAAAAAGAAGGAATCAACAAGGTCTGAACAAAATAGATTTCACCATAATTTTAAGCATTGTATTTGTTAAATATCATTCTCTCCTGGAATAACTGCGTCAGTTGGCAGAAACACAATAGACTCATTCTTTCTAGGAAGATTAAAGAAAATAGTTTTAATAAAAAACACTACATCACATTATCTCACACCAAGAGTCATTGTGTCACGCAAACTCTTTTGTTGAGTTCTACAACTCAAAACAATGAAGTAAATAGAATCATGTGAGCCCAAACCCAACCTAACCCACTAATCCCCCAAAAGAACAATTTTGGTTATGATGAACAGTGACTGCAACGACAACATAACCAAATATTCAACACCACTGCAAATGACAGATACACAGATTTGGCAAAATACTGGTAACAATAGCTTTTATTAGTTTAAAATTGTGCACTAAAAAGCCTCCAATTAATCTTACACAGGTTGCATGATCCTAATCAAGTACCTTTGCTACTTGATGTAGGTCAGACTCATGCTTCAGACAGAATACTAACAATGTTACTGGAGAACAACCAAATAAAAGAGTTTAAAGAGACGGTTCTAGGTAGAGCAATCTGTGATGCCATACGAGAGACAAAGGTTTTATTTACAGTTTCCTTCAGTCACTCACGGGATCCAGAGTTACACATACTCTAGGGCCCAGAATATGCTATATTAAGTTCTGGATCTGTATCAAAAAAAGCACACTTAGCCTGATGAACCAGTGACATCTGGGATTAGAAATGACTCTGCTATAGAGGAGGGAAGGGAGAGACTACAGTGACACCTTACTCTGTTTCCTTCCCCTTATGTGAAGACTAATCTCTAGCTATAGGAAGAGATAAAAGGCAACTATTCCATAACTATCAATACTTCAGATACTGTGCAGCTCTATGATACTAACTGGAGTATCTTGCAGATGCTCAGGCCAGTTGGAGTTCAGCTGGAAATCATACCAAAGGGTTCCTTGGGAAGCTCAGGCATTAAAGCACCTGCCTTCAGTCATCTGGGGGCAAACTCAAACAGCAACACGGTTGCCCACAGACTTACCTAGAGGACAAGTTTCTTTTGGAGAACTGTTTTTCTTCACGGTAACTCAAAGACAGCTAAAAAAACCCTACACCATAAATTAATTCTTGATCCCAGGCATACTAACAGGTAAGTCAGAAAACCCTTCTTAGCTACAGAATGAGGAACTCTGATGCAATGAGGAAAGTACAAACCAGCACTGCAATTACTCCTACTCCACTTCTTTCTCATTTCCTTGGTTTCCCTTAAGGTCATAAATTAGAACCTCCTTTTAGGAGCAGATTTCACGAGACACTATTTCTAATAAACAACAGATACCGTGATCTACAGAAAGACAGTGTGGATGGCACTGACTCTTCTTGCTTGCAGTTGATTTAACAACACTTGCCCTGAACACTGCAAGTAAGATGCTAGGAGGTCTAAAAAGAAGTGGGAAAGAAGAAAGAGAGACCAGCCTAGCTGCTTCCATTATGGCTCTTAATACCAGAAGGGAGAAGTCATCCTGTTGCATGGAAACCTGCAGCAAGGCTGACACTGCCAGAGTGAGGGGAGTCAGCCTTGCAACTGTAGCCACCAACAGAAGCCAAGGGCAAGGTGGGGCATGGAGTACAGGGAGGAGTGGCAAAAAATTCAGAGAGATTGACTGTAGAAACTCAGGCAGTGAAAGAGAACTGAAGAGTTAGTTAACTCTTACTTTTCAGCAAGTCCCTGGAACAGACACTTCTATTACATATACGTATTACATATTTCTCTGTAAAACATGAGAATGATTGCTTTATAGTTCAGTATAGTGTCTTGGGATGTAAAGGAACAGCTCCACTTCCCAGATCTCACAGAATGCTACCTACCTAAAAATCACACACTGCTATCTCTCTTGCACTTTCCTTGCTTGCTTTCAGCAATTGCTCTACCAGTCAGGATTTTAAAATAAAATAAAAGATGACACCACTTAAATGACAAGAGAAATAGAAAAACTCATCATCCACTTGACACAAAGTAACGGGCCAAGACTCATCTCCACCAAGTAAGGTGTCACTTCTTAATTAGGGACAGCTCTAGGAACAGCCAATGTGTGACATGCTCTAATCAAAGCCACAACTCACTTCAGAAACTGTAGTGTGCAAAGAGTTAAGAGCAGCTGAGGGAAGAGACCCGGTTGCTTTCCCAGCCTTTCTGCGCTAAGCAATATAAAGAGGCAAGGACATATCAGAGAATCTGTCATTCTGTTTTCTAACCCAGTGTTTCATGGTATCCTGAACCCTAAACTGACAATACGAAGAACGTGAAGAAGGAAGATTTGAATTTTACCTCATAGCTGAATGTTACCACCCACTTCTGAAAATAGGAAACTGTAACCTATTCCAGATTTCTTTTTGTGGCAGCAGAGAAAGATTTCTAGAGGGAAGAATGAGGATTCACTAGAGGGTGAAAGGAAAGACAAAAGGACAACTTCTATGAATGCCCAGCCACAAGTGGGCTTTGCCTCACGCTTCATCAGCGCTGTAAACGATTCTTCCACCTGCTTTCCACAAATACTACAAACTGAAGAACTTCACTGGAGAAAACCAAGAGATACATTTAATTAACTCTGACAACAACATAAGAACACGTGGGCAGCTGCCATTACACTTCCATACCTGCACCATGGTTTCAGCCTGTTACCCGCTCCCTGCGGAGGGTTTCTGCGGGCTGCCACATCTCAGAGACAAGTCTTAAAAGTATTTGCAAGAAAAACACAGCTTACCCATACAGACCACATAACACACTGCCCAGGGAATCCATCTGATTGGGATTCTGGGGGCCTGACCTCTCCCAGGACAATTAATTACACTTTGAACACAAAACGCCTGTCTGAGGGGGAATACACTTGGCGATTCGCTTCTGGAGTACACCTTGGTCAAAATCGAAGCAAAAAGTCTATCCTAATTCCTACTGCACTAAGAACACCTTGCATTTATTTTAAGGACATTTAGGAGACACTGCATCTGATTATTTTTTACTAATACTGTGGCATCAGAAAACACGGTACTATTCATCCTAGAACTTGCCAGATTTAGAAACTCATTCATCACAAGATCTCACCCGGATAATGCAAAGTAACTTGTTCCCTTTAAATCAGCTCCCCGCACCATTCTTGTTGCACAGAAGGTATTTACAAAACCCATTTCCTTTCAGTTTACCAGGCATGTCTGCTTGTCCATGTTCTACACATAAAACACAGTTACATGGACCCTTGTTCCAAGCTTCTTTTCAGATACCTTCTTTCAAACCAAGAAAAGCACTTAGAGTGAATTTAAGTGACAAACCTCCCAAGCTACTCCAACACCCTCCTCCCTCTCACCCCCCACCCCGTTTTAGCAAAAACGGCATAATTTCTTCTCCTACTTACTAGCTGTGCTGATGATCAGAAATGATTTCTGCAAATTATAGAGACCTGTGATAGCTTAAGGGGACATGAGTGTATTAAATCCTGCAGCACTTCACACGCAACAGGTACATTATTACCTGAAAGATGAAATAAGCTTGCAATAAAAAGGCCAGCTCCCTGAATTAAAAAATCCCTCCAACTGCTTTGAAGCAAAATGACCAATGCCTTTACCTGATTGGAATTGACAGAGACTGACTGAATCTTTCAGGGGATTAATGCGTTTGTCTTTCAAATCCTAAGACCCAGATTCTAATTCGATCACAAATAAAATGTCTGTTGTGATGGCACAGCCTGTAGTACGGTACTTTTTTTGTAAGGTGGGAGAAGTCTGTTCTAAAACATTTCAAGTTGCACTTAATCATAAAGGCAAATCCAGAGCAGAATAAGGCATCTGATAAAATGCTCCTCAGAAAATTACCGTTCTCTAAGGAATGTAGATGAAATATTTATATACACAAGTTTTTGCTGTCATTTTGTGTATATACATTTTAAAGACGTTGCAAAGACAGGAAATAGAAGAGCATATATTAATATA